ACGCTTGCATTAAATGGAAAATTCATTGTCTTGACAGCACATTCCTTTTAGTGCTCCCTATTAATCCATATATCTTTCTAAAAGCCACACAAAAAGAACAAAGGTGTAGTGACAGTTTCTTTCCCCCTTACTAATAAAAGAAAAACATGGACACAACCAGCTCTTGGCCTGAAACAGCACTCCCAAAGCACTGTATAAGCAACCAAACAGATGTGGAGCAGCAGCAATGTGATGCTGAAGAATACGCTGACAGGCCCAGAGTTCATACAGTGTTCATTCAGGCGACAAGACATTCAAGCAGCTATGATTCATATAGATAAGAGAGAATCCCACCCATTTCAGTGCAAATGAGAATACTAGAAGAGCTCACCTCCATTACTAATTTTCAATGTGTCACTGCCACATGGCAACACCTGTAATGCACATCTGATGCACACCATCTGTGTTGGCAGCGGTTTCTCATTATTTGAGACATATCTTCTTACTATGGAAGAGTGCAAGGCTGAATTTACACCAAAATAAGCAGAGATTTCTTTTTCAAGAAGAAATAGAATCAATTCTCAGGGGAAATGTTAGTTAATATTACCATCCTTAAATAAAGCTCAACTATCCTAGAAAAACCAACTGTGTGTGAGAGAGAAACAGAGTGTGCACTGAAAAAGTGCAAGGAGACTGTACTACCAGGAAGGCAGTTTCCTGTAAAGCCTTGTCCTTATAAACAGCACACAAGACAGTAAACTGTTTTGACCCATACGTCATTGGACAGAAAATTACAGTGTGTCATGTGATTAAATGATCTTCTAATAGACACTCATGGAAAACCAGATTTAATGGTAAAGGGAAATTAAAGTATAACTATGACAGTTTTCTTAATTTAATTCAGAGCTCATCTGGAAAGTGGGATGCTGGTTTAAGCATTGGACTAGGACTCCAGAGACTAGGCTTCAAATCCCCACTCAACCATGAAAACCCACTGGTTGATTTTGGGCAAGTCTCTCTCTCTCAACCTCAGAGGACAGCAAATGGAAATTCCCTCAGAACAAACCTTGCCAAGAAAATTCAAGATTGGTTTGTCTTAAAGTTACCATAAATTGGAAATGACTTAAAGACACACAACAACTGACTAGGCTATACTTGTGTGTGTGTGTGTGTGTGTGTGTGTGTGTGTATCTAGTTTTTCATTACTCCCCTCTCTGTAACAACCCTTGAGGTATTTAAAGAGTGCAATCATGTCACCCCTCCATTTTCTCTTCACCAAGCTGAACATTCCCAGCTCCTTGAACCTTTTTTCATGTTTTGTTCTCCATAACTCTAATCATTCTTGTTGTCTTTCTCTGAACTTGTTCCCATGTGTCTATATGTGCAATTCCAGTCCATCTGGATACCGGTCCCAGGCTGGATCTACACTGTTGTATATTCCAGTTTCTGAATGCAGGCATAATAGAGCAAAATAAAGTGGTGCTATTACTTCCATTGAAAAGGAAAGGGGAAAGGGAGGGCTGACCTCTTGTCACTGCCACCATTCCCCATCAGCCATGGAGCTCCCTTTGAGTGCCTGGCCATTGTAGTCACATCAGCTGATATCAGAATAGAGTGCCCATGAGACTGGCGAGGTTGTAGTCAATTGCACAGACACCCCTCCCCCCATTCTAATATCCAGCAGACATGATAGGTGATGGCCAGGCACTTGCACAAGCTCTGTGAATGGTGGGGGTGGCAGTAGCAACACAAAAACAAGGTGACAGCCTAGCAGGACCAAAGCAATCCTGACCCATCTGGATACCGGTCTCAAATGCAGCATGTACATGATCCAGGGCAGATTTACACTGGCATAACCTTCCCAGCATAGATGCAGTCCAAGATTCAGTTTTACCATCTAGGTTTGAGAATTAGATCTAAGCCAGACAATGCAATTTCCTATTACCTATTGTAAAAAAACCTTAATATGAGGGTCTAAAATTGTTTATAACATCTACACTTCATACTTCTTCCCCTGAAGTTTTTCTTACGTCAATTAATTTGGTAAAATGGCTAATGCTACGTATATATAAATAAAAGACTGGAGAATAACATCAGGAAAGCTTTTATGTGTTCCAGTAAAACATACCAAATATCCTTTGGACTAATCAAATATGCCTGCTTTGAACTTATGCATGGTGACAGGATAGATTGATTTTAGTTTCTTGTTTAGATTGTTCGATTAGCTTTTGGAGAGGGTTTATTCTGAGGGCGTTATGAGAAAAGCACTATTTCCAGTCATGTACCTGATGCAGTTGTGTTAAAGAGATTTTTTTCCCCTTGCTGTTTAGAAATGGGGACCAGCTGGCAAACAACTGCACTGAATTCAATTATCTCTCTCTTGGCAAAGTATTAATGATCACCACGTTGTCAGGTTCTGCAGACAGACCTTCTATCAATATTGGGCCAGTAGATAGTAAAAAAAACAAAACACGCACCTTAATTGTAATAGTCGTTTTGCTTTGCTTTCCTCTCAACTTATTTTGTTTATTTGTTTGGATGTTAAATGCATTTACAAGATCTCTTCTAATTCTCATTTGATGTAGATATTAACAGCTGGATTCTTTGCAAGCTTGGAACAAATAATTTGAAAATTAATTTTGTTAAGTTAAATATTGGAACACTAACTTGCTGCCACTAGCATTGTTAATGTAAATTGTTCAATCATTTGAATTAATATTAACTTGAAATTTGAGTTTTGGGAAAAGGTTGGCATGGAAGCTACTACAATTGATAGTTGGAGAGACAGATTTTGATATTGGTGTCTTCATAAGTATTCTTTTTGTTTTCCACCTTACAACTTAGTCATTTTAGTTTTGTCACTGATCGGCACCTCTTCTTCCCAGCTTTTCCCACTCTTGCCAACATGTATTGTATACTGTTTATTTATCCTTCAGATGCCTTGTTTGTCAAAATTTAATAAGGAGTGTGCGGTGCTATCAAAGGTCAATATCAATTCCAATGACAGCAATAAATAACTAGCTATTAAAATCAGTATGTAGATCAAAGGTAGTGAATTCTTGATCAAACTCTTCTGAGAGCCTCCAAGCCAGCGTTTCTCAACCTGGGGGTCGGGACCCCTGGGGGGGGTTGTGAGGGGGTGTCAGAGGGGTCACTAAAGACCATCAGAAAACACAATATTTTCTGTTGGTCATGGGGTTCTGTGTGGGAAGTTTGGCCCAATTCTATCATTGGTGGGGCTCAGAATGTTCTTTGATTGTAGGTGAACTATAAATCTCAGCAACAACAACTCTCAAATGTCAAGTCTATTTTCCCTAAAACTCCACCAGTGTTCACATTTGGGCATATTGAGTTTTCATGCCAAGTTTGGTCCAGATCCATCATTATTTGAGTCCACAGTACATTCTGGATGTAGATGAACTACAACTCCAGAACTCAAGGTCAATGCCCACCAAACCCTTCCAGTATTTTCTCTTTGTCATGGGAGTTCTGTGTGCCAAGTTTGGTTAATTCCATCATTGGTGGAGTTCAGAATGCTCTTTGGTTGTAGGTTAACTATAAATCCCTGAAACTACAACTCCCAAATGACAAAATCACACACACGCCAACCCCACCAGTATTCAAATTTGAGCGAATCAGGTATTTGTGTCAAATTTGGTCTAGTGAATGAAAATACATCCTGCATATCAGATATTTACATTACAATTCATAATGGTAGCAAATTTACAGTTATGAAGTAGCAACGAAAAAATTTTATGGTTGGGGGTCACCACAACATGAGGAACTGTATTAAGGGCTCATGGCATTAGGAAGGTTGAGAAACACTGTTCTAAGCAAACACTGTGCAGTCTGATCACTCCATCTCACTGCCTCTTCATTACAAATCAAGAAGGGTTACTCGCAAAGAGTAAAGTAGTAAAACGGAAAATTTGCGTGGTGTAATGGTTTGAGCATTAAACCATGAATCTGGAGACCAGAGTTCAATTCCCTATTCAGCCATGGAAACTATGAGTGACTTTATGGAGGCCTCACCTTCTCACCTTCAGAGAAAGGAAAAGGCAAATTCACTCTGAACAAATCTTGCCAAGAAAGCCCTGTGATAGCTTCATCCTGAAGGCACAAAAATGGCTTGTAGACACACAACAACAAAGTAAAGTATGTGTTTTGGATGCAGAAGCCAAAAAGTGATTTACATAAGTCCATGACTTCTTCAGTTTAAAACATCAAAATAACTAACAAGCCCATGATTCTCTAAAAACTTCTTTCCTTATTTTTTTTGTTTAAATCTCTTAACATCCTACTGTAAAGATAATGAAATAGTGATGTTTGCACTCATTAATTTTCTTGTCTGTTTTTGTTTCATATGACCCTTATTAAATGATTTCAGTGCAGCTTCAGGAAGGGGTTAAAACAGCCCAGGGTCTGGTACTGTATATACAATCATTACAGCAGCCCCAAACTTCCATTCTGGCAGTCTGGCCTGGTTGGTTCTCTGTGGTCAAAACCTCCTCACCCTTGTCAAGTAAGAAAAATGAGTTTAATAGCTACAACTAACCCCCCCAAAGCATCTGGCTCACTAATAGCTTCAAATCCCTAAAAAAAAGTACAAAAGGGCTCATTGCATTTACCCCCAATCCATAATATGCAATAATGTACAATGCTATATAAAATGACACTATTATCCACAGATTCAATCTCCATGGGAAATTGTTGTTTCTGTTCAATGTTTGATGTTTTGTCTTATGTCTTTTGTAACAGGCTGTGTCTTTTATTTAATTTTAGTTGTAAAGTCATAATTTCGTGTTTATATGTCAGGTTGTTTAATTTTTGTTAGTATGTTAGATGTATTGTTGTTGTATTTGGGCATTATGTTTGGAATCCAGCCTGAGTCCCTTCCGGGGAGATAAAGCGGAATATAAATAATAATAATAATAATAATAATAATAATAATAATATTTATTATCATCACTGACCTGCACTCCAAAAATCCTCCCTACTCAGGAAGCATTTGTGGGCCTAAATCCACCAGTGCTGTTCTATATTCCAGCCCAAGTATAATTGAAATATAGTGTTTGTTATTATCCATGGGCATCTTGGAACTTATTCCTACGAATATTTTTGTTAATTATGTTTATTCATTCAGCCACTTCTGACTCTTCACCAGCCCACACCAGAGCTCCCCATCAGCTGTTGCCACCTCCAGCTCCTTCAAGGTCAAGCCAGTCACTTCAAGGATACCATCCATCCATCTTGCTCTTGGTCAGGCTCTCTTCCTTTTTCCTTCCATTTTCCCCAGCATCATTATCTTCTGTAAGCTTTTCTGACTTCTCATTATGTGGCCAAAGTACTTAATCTTTGCCTCAAATATCCTTCTCTCCAGTGAGCAGCCGGGCATTATTTCCTGGAGTATGAACTGGTTGGATCTTCTCGCAGTCCAAGGCACTCTCAGAATTTTCCTCCAACACCACTGTTCAAAAGCGTCTATCTTCCTTTGCCCAGCCTTCCTTATGGTCCAGTTCCCACTTCCATTGCACTTCCGTTGCTACAGGGAATATGTAGTATATACAAAAACATATGTATTATACATTGGAATAAAGTAAATAAAGGAATAAAGTTAAAAGAGTTACAATACTTCTGCCACTAAAAGGCATCCAACAATCTCCATAATGGGTAATAAGTGGCAGTGGGATTGGGGGAAGATTAGCCTTACAGCATTAAATTATTAGAAATTCAGAAAGGACCACAGATTGTTGAGGAGCTCTTGCTAAATGAAGAAAACATTCCATTACAGACACTACATTTTCCCATTCTTCTTCCCTATCTTCCCATGTTCTGACCTTCAATGGCTTCCAGGCTTTTGGTTCTACTCATAGACTTTGCTTCTTCTTTTCCACAGAAATTCATGATACAATGGGAAAATTATTTTACCTAGTACTATTGTGATTCATTCCCACCAATCCAAATCCTTCTTCTCATAAAGTCTTCCTATTCTACTGGATTGGACAGAGGGAGACCCTCCCCAACTGAATTGGAATGACATAGAACTAATTAACACATTTAAATATAGAAATATCATCAGCATTAATCAGAAAACCTAGTGAGTTAATCAAAGTTGAGGAAAATCTAACAAATTAATTGTATTATTCTACTTGTACAGTAAATAAACTTTGCAGCCATAGGGAAACATCCTTTTTTTCTAATGTACATCCTAGCTAATATTTACCAAATTAAATTAAGAAATGTATTTTTAAATGGTCAATAGCAATTATTATTTAAAAGGTATCATGTCAAGCAATTGATTGAATTAGAGGATTTGTACACCATTCTTTCATCAGAGTTGCTTACAAAAGTTTATTTTGCCTTTTTCTGACTTCTTGCAGAATAACTTGTGCTGTCTTTCAGAAGAAAGGCTCACCTTATATCATTAAGGTTTCTGACTTTATTCTATTTGACCTTCTTCTAAATGATCTAGGATTATGTTAAAGAATCATCCTCAACATGTATTAGTGGAGCAATGCCAAATGAGGAGAAGGTAACAGCTGGGGTTCTCAAATTTTTAGCTCTGATCCTGTTTATTTCTATTAATGGCTTGGATGAAAGCATAATGAGTGTGTTAATCAGATTTGCGGAGAGTAGAGAAGAGGGCTGAGTGAAGAGCTTTGAAACTAAGACTATGATTTAAAAATAGTAATTAGTTGGAAAAAACTAAGAACAATTAACACCTTTCCCATCGATAAAACAGCTTCCATTTGTTTGAGGAGGGAATGATTCCTTTTGCACCCAGCAGCTTTGCAGAAGCTCTAAAAATCTGCTCTAGAGGTTTAAAGGCAAATTAATGGAAGGCTGTATGGATGAACCTCCCTGTAGTCAGAAAATATTGGAGGTAAGATTGTCCTGTTGCATTATAAAAGTCCTGGAATGTAAGATTCATCCAGCAGCAGGGAGCTGAACAAGCTGGATTTGGATGTATCTGAGTTGTATTTCTGGTTGATTCTGAACTAGAATGTGTTCTGATGCCTAGAGGAAAAGGCTGAGCTTGATGACCTTCCAGCCCATGAGCTTATGAGTCTTTGATCAGGAAGAAGTTTTTTGGAGCTACAGCAAATCCATCTTCAAGGCATGTGGCTCAGATGCATTGATCTCTGAGGCCTTTTCTCATTGTTATGATCATCTCTGTTTGTCCACCGCGGTGATATAAAAACAACCTTCCATCCATTTGTGAGGGCCACGACATCCCCTTCTTTTCACCAACACAATATACAGTGTATCATTTCCTCTCCTTTTCTATACTGCTGGTTAGTATGTCAAGAGAGGGCTGGTTTTTCCCCTGCAGTGTTTGCATGATGGGTGAGAGTCACTGAGGTATAGGAGGGGGCAGGTACTCGAACTTCCTAACTGAGGAAGCATTGAAGCAAAGTTCCTTTTTTATTGTTATGACTCATAAAATATTGGAAAGAATTCTGTTCATTTACTCTAGGTTTCACTTAATGGATTACTTGCACTCTAACGAGACTTTGCTAAGATGGAAAAAAAAACTCTGCATTTAAAAATGACCTTATTATCCATTTATAAAATCCAGTCCCAGTTCAGTCATCCTGAGAACACTGTGTACATTGACCTGGCTACTTTGCATTTTGGACTGTCCTCAACCCACTTTGGATTATAATTATGAACCCTACTTAGGTACTCATAGAACAGGATGTCAACCTGGCAATACACTTGGATTTAAAGTTAAAGCACTGGGGATTTTATTATATCTTGTAAGTGAATGAACACTTTGGATTCTCCAGGGTTTACCATGATTACAGGCAGAGTTAGATTCCACTGTGAATACTGGAAAACCACGTCTCCCTTTTCGCAGGATGGGTTTCATTCTTTTTCAAAAAATGTCTTGATTCCTACCACATTTGTAAGTAATTAGTTGTTTCTTGTGAAGTTTCTGTATCTTGGCTAAAGTATCTCATTGTTTGCAGGTAAAACATAGGGATGAGTATGATTAAGACAGCCAATTGTAAGTTGCAAGAAGAAGAGAACCCTAGGAGAGGACCATTAAGCATGGGGCATTGACTTTGTGAGAAGTAAATCATTCTCAAGAAAGAGCTCTTTTGAATATGGTGATAAGGTGCTAACCACAACAGACTCTCCACTTTTGTAAGTGTGCAATGGAAAATCTGTCAATAAAAAAACACTATTTTTACCTTGTCTTTTTTTTACCTGCTGCCCCTCTTCTCTCGCTTGCTAGGTGGTCACTTCACCCCAGATCAGACAGTGGCAATTTCTCCAGCACCACTGTCCTCTACCTTCTTCTTTTTTGTCCTCCTTCTTGTGGTGGGTCTGAAAGGTATGGTAGGATACAATGTGTCTGGGAGAGTCATCACTGAAGCATGGCCCCTGGGTAGAACAGCTCTGCTGGCACCTCTTCTAGTGGGAGACCTCCTCCGGGTCTCTGTCTGCTGGGTGTCAAATACTCTTTTAGACTTCATCCCATCAGGAGCAGGAAAGCAAAGGGAACTGCCTTCCCCTATTCCCTCCCATATTTCCCCATCTTCTAGGATGGCCATCCCTCCCACATCCTTAACATTTTGATGCTCACCTTTACCTCACTTTCTCCCATTTTTTGCCATTTGAATTTGGGTAACACCTGACTCCTGAAATGCCTTCTACGCTCTGTTTCCATGAACTGAGGAAACAGAGCCCCAAAGAAACCTACTGAAAGTGCCCTTATGTCACATGATGGCCTCTGTGGGGCTCCAGTGGGGTTCCATTTCCAAAGCACATGGAAACAGAACCTAGAAGCCGCTTTGAGTCTTCTTGTGGAGAGAAAAAGCAGGGTAAACATAAATATAATTATAAAAGAAGCTGTGGGATGAAGTCTTCAGACAGGCTTTTAATGAGTCATTGGTTATTACAGAAGGGTCTTTTATACAGGGTTGTGTGTGTTCTGCACTTTTGTTTTCCTAATTATGTCAATTGATGGCAAACTATTTTTGCATTTTGAACTAAGCTTGAAGAAATTTATGTAAGCCAAGCAGAAGTGGAGGGTGAAGAGAGAAACTTGTACATTTTAAAGGAACTGACAAAAGTGTGATGGAGAAGGATAGGAGAGTGGGAGGAAATGCTTCTACGTGCTTTTAATTTTTAAAAAGTGACCAATTAGCATGACGAGGAAAGGAGACAGCCATGGATAAGGGAGATATTGTCAGGTTTTTTCCTCTACCACATTAGAGTACTGGAAGCACCCCCAAGCCAGGAGCCAGCTAGGCCCCAGAATCCCTGAGCAGTGCAGGAAACTTGATTGTCTGGCCACAGAGTTATTCTTTCATTGCTAAAATGCAGGAAGGCTTTCACCTTCAGTTACTTAAGAAGATATACATGCACAGCTAAATACACATGATTGCACCTCCTTTGGCCTCCATCCACTCTCTGTAGCAGCTCCACAGCCTACACCAGTGATTCCCAACCTGTGGTCTGCGGACCACTAGTGGTCTGCAAGAACGAAAATATGGTCTGTGGCCTCACCATTACTACACTGTTGACTCAAAACCACATGGCAATGAGAGCAACTAGTCTTGAGAAACCCTCTTATAGTTCTGAGGCAATGGGGATGTCAGGAGAGGTGGACTACCCACTAAAGATTGCTACTACCACATCAGCTCTAGATTATTACATATGGTTTTCTGTGGGCGAGCAGATGGCAACTACTGGATGGCATATGTTCTGAGCTGATGTGATGTATCCAATGCAATTTTCTGAATCATACCAAATAACCATACTGAATCTAAAGTTGACCAAAAACTGATTTGTAACCCTTTTGGTACTAATGTTGGAGCCATCCACTTACCTTCACGTTCCCCTTCGCACTAAGGGCACCTCTTCTCCTTTAAGTCCCAAGTGCAAGGGTGGAGCGATTTTCATTCAGCCCATGGCTAGAGAAGGAGGAGGTCTAGCTCCCACTGGCTCCATGCTGTATTCAAAGTAAGATTCCTCCGTCACAACATGCCTGTAATTAATTTATGAAAAAAACAAACACACACACACCAGAGCTACATGCCACACAATAATTCTAATGTGTAGTTTGGCACACAGAGAGAAAGCCAAGGTCGGACGGCTGTCAGTTTGGATGGAAAGTGAAGCACCCTGGGGCTTTGTCTCACTTGGATTCTGCTTGCACAATTGTAAAAAAGGCAAACGTTGACAATGTCACACTATTAATATTGCATGTTCTTCAGCTTTCTCTAAGCTTCAGGGATGGTCAAAGTGCAACCTGTAGACTTCAGGCTTATTTATTTGGCCCTTTGGAACAAGTCTGGGTCATTTCCAGTTGTAAAAAAATACCTCTACTGGGGAAAAAAGTCAGAAAGAGATCAAAAATGCCCCTTGCATTCACTAGAGGAATTTAGGGAACATTAGCAGGCTCTTTGTTGTTCTTCAGGGGAGCAAGTTGGAAATATGGCCCTCCATAGTGTCCTAGAAAGGTCAGTGGCACCACCTAACAATTGGTGTTCCCTCCCTCCTAACTGACCAAAGACCTGCATGACTTACTGCAAAGCCTCTGCAGCTCTCCACTCCATAGTCAGTCTATTCCTAGTGGACAGAAGGCAAGGATTGGAGAAATACCATGTTTACTGAAGTCTAATGCACATCTTTCTAGGATGTGCATTAGATTCAAGGAAGGTGGAAAAACAAGGAAAAACCAGGCTTCAATTGAATCCCTGCCCTTTCTTGACTGTTCAACCACCCATCCCTCCCTCTGCCCAGGCAGGAACAGCAGTGTTGGACCCATCCTTCCTTACTAGGGCCTAAAGCAGCTACTGCCAGTGTTATCTTCGTAGGCAGGGTTCCCCTCCTCCTTTCCCCAGCTTTATCTTCCTTGCAATCCAGACCCCTGTCTCCTGGGCCTATGAATGGAGTGCCTCCATGATAGATGTAAACCACCCCCGTTTGGAAGGCTCCTTGCTGTGGCAACTGTAAAGATCCCTTACCTACTTGGCTATCTTGGCAGGGCCCAGAAAGGAGACAGGCAGGGAGGTTTCAGTTAGGAAAGGCCTGGCAGTAAGTTGTTGGAGCCATTTTGGAGCAGGGAAAAACTCCAAGCCAGTAGGGGGAGTGGCTGAAGCCTGGGCCAGCCCAGCAACAGCAGGGATTGGTTTAAAGGTTAGGGGCGGAGATAGTCACTTGGAGGGAAAAGGAGAGAAGAGATAGTTTTAGTTCAGTTCAGCTCAGGGAGTTAGAGAGTTCAGTTCTGTTAGTGAGTAGTGCAGCTTAGTTCTGAAGAAGAGAATAGAGAATAGAATTGCAGTTGTTAGAAGTCTCTGTGTAATATAGGCAGATTGCCTAGGGTCTGTACAGTACTGTTAGCTGTGACAGACTGGTGTCAGCTATTTCTGAAGAATATAGAATAGCTGGGTGTTTATATTTTGAGTAACTGTAACAAAGATAGACCATTTCTCTCACGAAACCATTACGATTCAAGCAACAGGAACACTTTCTCTGTAACCATTCAAGCTTCTGTACCAGCATTCTGCTTGTTAAAGATAACTTGTAAACAATAAACTCTTTCTTATTCTTTTTAAAACAAAAGCCTGTCTCAAGCACCATTATTTTGGTTTTGAGTCCCTTTCCTAATGCAAACAGCCTCTCCTGTTTTCCCCTTTAGGAAGCCCTTGTTCGTATACTGAATGGTGGAGTAAAAAAGCTTTTTAACTGGTTTTTTTTTTTTTTAAAACAACCTGATACCCTTAATAGCAGCTAAGAGGGTTTGTGATTTATTTAATCTGGTGGCAGCGAAGTTATTTGGTTTGTCAAGTGTGACATCTCTCCTCAGACCATATTAGACTCGAAGTGGGGATTTTGAATTCCTTTATTAGCTGAAGAAAGGACCAGAGAGTGTTTCTTATTTAAGGACCAGTGTGGTGGGATATTGGTTTATCGCCCCTACCTCACGAAGGGTCCTTATAATTGGTTTGCAGCGGTGTGGGATTCGTGTAACACCTCAATCCAGGGCATTTGTGTGTAAATCCTGAGGTAAAATTTTGTCAAAACGTGACACCAAGGATTACCTCAGAGAGAGAACACCTCTACCACCATTTTACAACACCTTAAGCCATGGCACCACCAAAGACAAAGAAGGGCACCCCTGAAGTTCCAGAGAGAGAAGGGGAAACTACAGCTTCAGTAGTTGAGGGTTCTGTAGTTGAGGGGACTGAGACCCAAGTACCAGAGGTTAGACAAGAACAGATATCTACCTCTTTGGCCATTGAAAAGCTTAGGCTGGAAATGAAGTTGAGAGAACTTGAGTTTCAGGCTGAAAGAGAAAAAAGACAAGCTGAAGAAAGAGAGAAGGAAAGAATGATTGAAATTGAAAGAGAAAGAATGCAAGCTGATGAGAGGCAGAGAGAAAGGATGGCTGAGATAGAAATGGAACGTTTAAGACATGAAGAGAGAATGGCAGAACTACAATTAAGAGAACATGAGAGAACTCCTAACTTAGGCCAACAGCAAGACTCTAACATGCAAAGGGTGTTAAAGAACTTTCCCCGATATGTAAAAGGGGACTGTGTTGAGTCATTTCTCGCTGCATTTGAACGGGCTGCTCATGATTTTCAGGTACCTGAAGATAAAATGATGGTGTACCTGAGGCCCCTGCTTTGTGGGGAACTTAATGAGGTTTATGCTGATCTGCGAGAGACAGAGAGCGGGA